AAAATGTCTCACTGACAATATAAGTTTAGAATCACAAACTCTAGTTTCTCACCTGTGGTTTTAGAACGTAAACGTCAAATTTTAAACCTTGGAATTAACTCATAAAACTTTTGTAAATTATTGATAAACATAAGTATTGAACTTGGAAAAAAGTTTAAAAATTCCGAATATTCCCTCTTTACTACTTGTCTCCGAATGTGAACTGTTCAGCTGCCGTTAAAGACCCTGTGTTTTCTTCCTGCAGAAAGCAAAAATTGTGAACTGTCCCACACTGGCTTACACTTCGATTTGATTATCTCGTACGTGATCACGTGAACATTTTCTTACGAGATCGAAGTTTTTAAAGGAGCTGAAAGTTTTCAAGAGAAGGAATGTGACAGTTGTGACGGTTGTCGTGACCAGTTGATCTGACATCACTCTGAAATTCCTCCAAAGGGAATTATAATCTTTGTAAAAGTGAACAGCCTTCGAATTGTCCATTATAACTATTCATTTAAAAAATCTTTAGAAGAGATTCAAAATACGTATGATAATTTTTGATCGTCCTAATTCGAAGCATCTTGGTAAATGCCTTTTTCCTCGTATTATACACACAGTGTTAGTGTAGCAGGTCCAAGTGGGGTAATAATTCTCTGCTCGTATAAGGTGTAGGATAATGTGAAATGAACTTGAAAATGAAGTGATCTAGTCGGACGAATTATTAGTGGCAAAGATCCGCTAATATGTGTACCAGATATTAGTCTTGTTTACCTACATATTGTAAAACTTGTGTGCCAACGTTAAATGATCGGCATTAGTCCGTTAGTCGCTCGTCTTTAACTCGGACTTTGGTTTGCATCGCCACCAATTTTCTTAAAATTGAGTTTTCGCGGATTATCAATTTTCCTGAGCCTCTCATTTTCAATTTACTCGAATTTATTCTTTCACACAAATGTACAGATGAATTATAAATATGGTCCAATATTCTGACTTTTCCATGCATGTAAAGTATATCCAAAGTTCCGATTTTCTCATCCATGCCTTCGGGATTTGTATCTCAATATACAGACGATTCGTCACCTACTACGGCTTTGAAATCTTTTTAATACTTTACGCATTAATTACCTATCTTATTGTATTTCTTTTTTGTTCTCCAAGATATTCTGTTGATTTTCTCAAATAGACATCCAAGAACTCTTACGCGGAGTTTGTCATTTTCAAGGACCTTTTTATATACTAATTTATACTTTATTTCATACAGCGTTTCATTCATTACAACAGTTGCGTG